TTTCACTACCCACGACCTGCTCTGGCGTAGAACACTCCCTCGACCGAAGAGCTCTGGCGTGTTGAACACTCAAGACTGGATGAACCATCTCAGAAGAGTCACGTACCCAATCTGCACGGATTGAAGAAAAGCGTGTTGCACGAAAAGCTAGGACTGCAAGCATTTCAACTACAGTGATGGACTACAGATGTCTAACCTGTGGACGCTACTTTCGTGCCCGGATCGGATTGACCAGTCACCTCCCGGACACACAAACTCCAATCAACTGCGTGAGAAGCCGTGGTCCTTGTAGACGACAGACAGACAGTGAACAGTGAGTGAGTGAGTGAGTGAGTGAGTGAGTGAGTGAGTGAGGAGTGAGGAGTGAGGAGTGAGTGAGTGAGTGAGTGAGTGAGTGAGTGAGTGAGTGAGTGAGTGAGTGAGTGAGTGAGTGAGTGAGTGAGTGGAGTGAGTGAGTGTGAGTGAGTGAGTGAGTGAGTGAGTGAGTGAGTGGTGGTGAGTGAGTGAGTGAGTGAGTGAGTGTGGTGAGTGAGTGAGTGAGAGTGAGTGAGTGAGTGAGTGAGAGTGAGTGAGTGAGTGGAGTGAGTGAGTGAGGTGGTGAGTGAGGTGTGAGTGAGAGTGAGTGAGTGAGTGAGTGAGTGAGTGAGTGAGTGAGTGAGTGAGTGAGTGAGTGAGTGAGTGAGTGAGTGAGTGAGTGAGTGAGTGAGTGAGTGAGTGAGTGAGTGAGTGAGTGAGTGAGTGAGTGAGTGAGTGAGTGAGGAGTGAGTGAGTGAGTGAGTGAGTGAGTGAGTGAGTGAGTGAGTGAGTGGAGGTGAGTGAGTGAGTGAGTGAGTGAGTGAGTGAGTGAGTGAGTGAGTGAGTGAGTGAGTGAGTGAGTGAGTGAGTGAGTGAGTGAGTGAGTGAGTGAGTGAGTGAGTGAGTGAGTGAGTGAGTGAGTGAGTGAGTGAGTGAGTGAGTGAGTGAGTGAGTGAGTGAGTCGGGTAACTGAAATTTGAGAAAACGTCTGTATGGGATAATATCTGTATTGAAAATCAAAAAGAGGCCATACCAACTATGCGCATGTTTGTTCATTTACAACAGTAATTTATACAGGGAATTATTAATACATTGTAATAATCGTTTTTGAAAGTATAGATATTGAAATGTGTGCAGCTATGATCAATCGGGTAACTCATACAAGTGTGCACTAAAATTAAGGACCTACCGGTTCATGTCCGTGTGAAGACCCTGTCAGTGTTTTATTGCAATAAGCAGTGTCTCCTTGTATGTCATATATAAGAAGTGTACCTAAGGTCAGTTATTTAAGCTATAATGTAATTTCCATTACAAAAGTATAAACGATATTACCTACTGATCAGAAAGGCTTATCAGTACCCCACCGCCACCACCCCACCCTAGGCCTACCCCATCCCGCACCCTCTCCCTCTCACACACATGCACACATACACACTCCCTAACATATCGCTCTGTCCCAGAGACCCGATATTTAAACCTTTTAAACAGACATCATTTGCATGGCAAGAAAGGCACGCACGTTAATAGTGGTGCTCAGTCATGGGTATCACTTCGCCTTCTGTTTCTAATGATCTCAGTGCATTATGACGTGGTAGGACGCGCTAACGAACCCGATGTGACAGTTATATTACAGAACCATTGAAATACATGTTAAAGTAGTGTCTATCTTGTAACACTTTATTTACCCATTACCAACCATGTACGCGTGTACTAAATATATGACAAACTTAACCCTGGTCATACGAGATTTCAAAGGTATTGAAATGCGTGTCCTACAATCACAGTATTTACATATGTTACACATGCTAGAAAACACATGAAAACAATGGCCAGATTTACTCATTTGTGAAATACATGTAAATGCAGAGTTGAGTGTTCGTTTATTTTAACACCCCTTTAAACGTGTGTAAATCTGACAACCAGATGATACGTAGATTTTAAACGTTGTTCATATGCGGCCGGAGGTGGATGAGGTGAGGTGAGGTGAGGTGAGGTGAGGTGAAATTGGGTTTAACGTCGTGCTTGAGAATATTTCACTCATATGACGACGTGCATGCGTGTGTATGTGTATGTGCGGCTGCTTGTACTATCCCAAACCAAGCTGGTTTTATGAGAAGTGCTAGCCCACTGGAGATACCATGTCGCAGTGAAGCATGAATACCCACTCACACACATTATACTGACTCCGAGTCCTTGTTGTACCCATTAAGGCCGAGCGCCAGGCAGGGACCAACAAGTACCATATTTTAACGTCTTTTTGGTATGACGTGGTCGGGGATCGAACCCGCGACCTTCCCTCCGGACGAGACCGTATACTAAGTATTTCCTAACAATAGTAAATAAGGGTAATACAGTCATTTTGTGTGGTGAATATAGTTGTAAACAATATAGACTCACCCACACTTCGTGCTAACCAAACGTTGGTAAAACCTGTGTAAAATAGCAAATTTCAAAGATTTGACACCCACTTTTGCTTTCCAGCATCATGTAAGTTTTTAACATTATATAGCATTGGTATGGATATCTAGAACAATTCATACGAAGTATTTTTATCAGTATTTTATAACCCTTATCCGTGTGGAAACAAACATCGTGTGGCGCCCTGCTCGCCAAATATACCCTTATTGGATGCGAATTTGCCAACCTGTAAGAAACGTTTGAGATACTGTGTGAACTTTTTCTATAACTTCAAAGTATCTTGTCCCCATATTCACGAGAGCAGACCAAAACGGAAGACAAGCTGGTCCAGTACGCTGCTGGCCAGAAGCGTCCGTCAAGAAGAAGAAATACAGGGACTTGGAGCGACGACTGGATGACATTCATCACCAGCTCAGACAAGGAACACTGTCCGTGAGAAAGTTTGCTGATTCAGCATTCCATCTGTTGCATTTGGTTTAAAATCTGTGGATCAATCTCTGTGTGCTATATGTATCATGAATACGCATCGGATATGCGATGTATATGTCACGCAATAACTTATGTGAATCATTGTAAAACTAGAAAATCTGTCAACTGAGATTGTTGATGAGTGCTTCAAAATGGAAATATACTGATAAAAATATAAACTGTTGTTCTCGCCTTCTCATTAGGTGTGCTCTCATCCGCATAATCCTGATTATCCACATCTAACAACTCGTTGATCCTTCATTGTCCTCGTAATCCTTTATTAATTGGCAAAATGAAACTAGTCTCAGGACGCCGATATTTATTTTCCACTCAACCGTGAAGTTTGGAAGAAAGGTCGGCGTTATGAGCCTGAACCCTGCCGACCTCCGTAGAGACTGCACAGCGTATTCCTGGCTTGAGAAGAATTTCAGACCAAACTGTCAGGAATCGATTGCGTGAAAGTTAAGGATTCGACCAAGAAAGCCTGTAGTCGCCCCTGTTTTGAGAGACTTCCAACGGCGCAATTGCTTGCGGTGGTGTCGTAGAGTCACTTTTCACGGTCCGCTGCCTTGCCAATTCTAACGTCAATGATTTGCCATGGCCTGCCGATCACCAGAACAAAACCCGATTGAACACCAATGGAATGAACTTGATCGACGTGTACGTAAGGGTGAAAACACACCTGGGACACTTCCACAACTGGCCATCGCATTGCAGGAAAGTGCTGAAGAATTCCGCAAGAACGATTTCGCCGACTTATCCAGTCTGTGCCGAGACGGCGCCGAGCAGTAATTGCTGTCAATTATGGCAATATAGAAAGTACTGACTTTGACGCCATCTTGTGGACTCGAGTAAACAGAAACACAACAATAAAGGTTGTCTATAGATGCGTGAATGTTCACCTGTTTACCTTTGAAATAACATGAAATAATTGCTATTAAACTAAAGCAATAAATTCTTCTAAGAATGGCTTATGCATTTCTTTTTTTGAAGAGTGTATCATCAGAATAAATTTTCATCGAAAAACCTGATATTTTGTTGTGAAATAATGAACAACACAAGTGTTTTATTTTTTAAACAATAGTCACACTGTTATGATTATTCTGGAAACTATAAACATTGGTCGTAACAAAATTTGAAAACTGAAACTGGTCTGACCTAGTTGACTACTTGCAAAGACTACTTGCATATGGGCACCTATGCATTCAGGCTCACTTCATTCACGTCACACCCAGTCTACCTTTTGTGACGTAGGCAGCAGCCAGTTTCTATAAACCTTTTAGGAGGAACATAACAAGGGAACGAGAACATGTTTTCCTAAAGAGCCGACTTGTATTGACACACTGACCATTGTTCCCGGGTTAAGTGTATATTTGCTTGGACCCGTTCAACTGTGTGTCAACATACTGGATGTACACTAGTTCTTTGATATCTTCTACTGATGTCTATTTACCTATGATATCCAAAACACACATTTGATTTATTTGAATCGCTAAACTAAATCAACCCCCGCTTTGCCACTGATACAAAAGTTACTGAATGAAATAGGTACATACAGTTTTTAACTTATGTACACAGCAGTGTATTTACATGTATGTCTTATGCAACAATGAAGTTCCGTTCGTATCCTCAAAACAGTATCGGCCCATAAGGTTTTAGGCAAATAAAGTTGCATGCAATATAGCGATTACTACTACCTTGTAACCCATGTTTGATGGTATAAGCCTAGACCTATATTTATTTGTCATCATTCACTTGATAGTCAGTTAATGAATTTATAAGAGGTCTATTTATTGGTAACACCACTCATGTTACCCAATAAAGGTTCCCATTTAGCATTTCTCGTGTCTTGAGTAAATGCTCAACATTATAAATTAAGGTTTTCGTGTGGCAAATGTATTACATGTTTTGACATATGTACATGGACATGCAGCAAGAGGAAAAATTGTCAGCTGAGTTAAAATAGAACAAACATTGATCAAAAGATTAACCGCTAACACACTGACTGATTAATTACTTTTATCTTGCACAGCGGAATTGTCAAAAAGGCACACACTGAATACACCCACATTCTGTCGTAAATGTACTGTGTAAAACACAATGTTCTTCTTCCTTCATTACGTTGATCTATTGCTCATTGTTGTCTAACTAAATTATTTTTTTAAAGAATGAGTCGACATCATGCAAATGGTTGTCAGGTGTGCGATCTTGGGTGACCAAAGAGATTATACACAATATGAAAAACTCTGAAACGTGATCAGTTGAGAAAGTTGAGAAAGAAAGTTATAACGTTATATTCATATTTTGGCATATTAAACCGTTAAATGGCACATGACATAGAAAGATCTAAGTTTAACATCCAGATACATCACTACAAAGGAATTACAAAGGCAGTACAAATCATTAGTGGCAATACAAATCCAGTTGCAATGTAATCATAAAGAGCAGTGTTGACAGGAATAGAGTCAGTGATGGCAATATTCACCTGTGGCCTTCTTCATAATCTGCAACAGTTGCCGAGCCTCCAAAATGGCCTGGGCTAAGTATCCAGGTAAAAAGGAATCTTCACAGAAACGAGGAATTGGTCTTGTAATATGAGATGCACTGTGAGATGTAACATGGAATTTCTAGACCAGTCTTGTCGATTGCAGGCTAAATATGTCAATTAATACCAGCACACGATTCCCCGCATGTGTGCAATTGGTGAAACCATTTCTGGTGTTTTCCATTTTGATATTGATGGACTATTGCTTTGAAAGAAAGCGTAAAGACAAAACTCACTCACTCACTCAACCAGCACAACTCTGCCCTCTACTGAATCTAAACAGAACAATGCAACACAAAATTCAGTCGTGTTCTAAGAGGATTAAAACTGTCACATTACAATGTAAACGCTTATATTTTGTGGTTTAATGTTGTTAACATTCTATACAATGTGTGGTGCTATCTATCCCATCATTCACCTGATGGATAACGAAATGTTTTGACTTCGATAAAATGATGGAAACATTAAACTATCACGCCTTTAGCTGTTGGATTTTGTAACATAAAATTGAAATTATCTTTTATACTTGAACAGATAAGAAATGTCCTTCAATACATAAATGTCGTCAAAACAAATTGGATCATATTTGACCTTTCCATCAAAATATTCCCCTTTCGAAACAGAGTAGCAACGCTTAATGCAAATGTGCATTTCTCTGGAGGTAGTCTCCCCATCGGGGAAAGTCAGCATTAATAACTTGGGAATTCAGCTTCGTGATTACCTCCCCTTGGCGAGGGAGAACCATGATGCATGCCATCAGCATAGTTGTCCAGGTGATCCGATCAGCCGGAGTTTTCAAACATACCCAGGGGTGACTTACTTTCTAGAGTGTCGTATCCTCCCCTTTACTTCCACGAATTGCATCACTACTTCCTTTATAGACGTCTCTTAGCATCTGAATACTACTCACAGCTGTAACCGTTGTCGGCATTTTTGCTTGACCAAAAGAATCAAACATAAAAGTTTGAAGAACAAATCCACAGGGAAAGAGATTAGCCATTGTGAAGTTTGAGGAAGTGCAGGAGGTTCACTGATGGTGTTTCATCGAGTGTCAATAAATGAATAAATCATCTTTTCTGAGCCCTGAGACTCTAGCCTCTACAGCAGGTGCAAGTTGCTGACGGATTGTAGGATTTCAACAATCCAACCATTAGCTCGTCCACCAGCTGGAAGGTGTCAAGATAGACGATGCATTATCTTGTGGTGGAATCGCTTCATGTATCCTCTTCTCAAATTGTGTAATAACCTTAGCGGCCGTGGATCTTACCATGTCCCAGTATAGTTGGATTCAAGTATCCACAAACAGATCCACGGCTGAATGCACTTGTAGCATCTTAAGCATGAGAAGATGGTGCTCCATATTGAATGTCATGACCAGAATAATCCGTCGTGGCTTTTCTCTTGGGGTGATGATATAACTGTATGAGACAATTTGGACAAGGCAGTCTTAACGATGTTTGGCACAGAACAATGTTCCCTGCATAACGAGGCTACAAACACAGGTCACGTTAGAACCCTTCCCAAAGCACCTTTGATGTGCCCGATTTAAAGCATTTAGGCTTTCCGTTTTCGAATCGTGAATTCCTCATTACCGTAATCAGACAGAGTGAAAGTTTTTGGCTTCTTCCAGATCATGAAATAATCTTTATACAAATTAGGTCCATCATCTTCAGGAAGATCGAGGAGGTTGGGTATTGGTGATGGAAGAATTGATCTATTGACTGATACCACTGTTCGAGACGACCGGATTCTCCAGGTCTGAATGGAAGAAGTCTGCCGTTATCTCTTTGTGTACAGTCCATATTTATCTCACTCTGCGGATACATAACATCCTGATAATTTCGAATATGTTCTGTTGTGTTCCTTGAATATCCTAATTAATTCAGTTGTCTCAGTCTGCATCGCGCCTTTTTTAGTGAGAAGGTGACCTTATGAAGTAATCCATTTCTGTATAATCCTTTGAGAAACAAGCTACAAACGAGTATTAACACTTGAAAGTAAATAAAAATATAAAAAATCTTGAACACTTTGCTATTCCTTGCACCAAATGAAATGGCCCATCATGACACGCAATGGAGCACTGATCTGTGTGTTGTTATAGGTGATTGTAGCACAGTGGGTTTCAATAATCCAACGGTCGTCAGTAATGATGTTTGAAGATTCTTCTGGGAATTTGACTCATGATTCGGGGAAAGGATCATATCTACAAATTAAAACAAAGCATTGTACATGATGTTATTTCGGGGCGTAAAATGTATATAACAAAAAACGCTGTAAACGAAAGGAAGAATTATTGACACCTGAAAATATGGTTATAAGACAAGCTGGAAATAAAAGGCGTGTCGTCTTTGACGTTGAAAAGAATACATAAAAATATTAAATGGTAATAAATGGTGGTACGTTAGAAACAATTCATAAACAGTTCATAGGTAATATATATATAGTGAACACAAAATGGTTAAAACAAGGAAAAATGGAAACTAGGGCATATGTTTACCTTTTCTTTTTCTGCATATATTTGGCTTTGATGGTGTGAGAGGGGTATGGAGTTACCGATCTTGAAGGGCGTTGTAGTAAATGTTAGCTTTTTTAAGTTCCTTTGTAAGGTAGGAGGGTTGGGTATGGGTGGGTGGGTAAAAGTGATGTTCTATCATAATGAAGTCTAGGTTTAGTGCCCACATTTCTGTCAAAACAACATGACGAAAAGCAAAAGGAACATACCACAACGTTAAGATTGAAACTGCACACACACGAAGCAGATTTTGCTTCTCTTTAATAGCCACATGTGGTTAGCGGGGAGGCAAACTGAATAAAATATTACATAATGCCTAGCTTCTCACGATAGCACATTTCACCGTGCGTGGATATGGTTGAAACGTGCTCTTCACGTTACGTTACTTGTAAATATGGCGGGCAGACGAAACGTCGGTGTGTTTTGTGGCACATCTGGCACCAACCAACCAACAAAACAAACACACACACACACACACACACACCCCAACCCCCAACCCCCAATAACCCCCAAAAACAAAACAAACCCAGACGCATCCCCAAAAAAACCATACCAACCAACCAACAAGCAAGCAAGAAGCAGGGGAAGCAAGCAAACAAGCAAACAAGCAAACAAACGAACGACGCATTTGTTTGCCTGAATAAAATGATTTTCCTTTTTCATGGATACGATTGGGTCATCACTAATAGCTTACCACAGCGGTCTACACAAGGCTCAGTGATTGCGGTAGGGAGGCTACCGTATGAAGCTGTCGTTCAGGCGGCTTGGTGATGTGGTTGGTTTGCATGCGTATTATTACCTTTCAGACATACGCCAAATTCCAGGGTTCAAATCCACACATGAGTACATAGTGTAAACCAGATACGTTTGGTGTCGCTTACCCAATCACTGCCCACTGTACAGACGACACACACCGACTGTCTATATACAGGCCTACACAGTAGAATTCCCAATCAATGCCCAATGTACAGACGAAACACAACGACTGTCTGTATACAGGCCTACACTGAAGAATTCCCTATCACTGCCCACTGTATAGAGGACACACACCAACTGTCTGTATACAGGCCTACATCGTAAATTTCCAATCACTGCCAACTGTACGAGACAACAAACACCGACTGTCTGTATACAGGCCTACACAATAGAGTTCCCAATCACTGCCCAGTGTACGGACGACACACACCGACTGTCTATATACAGACCTACAAAGTAGAATTCCCAAACAATACCCACTGTACAGACGAGACCACACCGCCTGTCTGTATACAGGCATACACGGTAGAATTCCCAATCACTACCTACTGTATAGACGACACACAGACTGTCTCTATACAGGGCCGTACATTGGTAGAATTCCCAATCACTGCCAACTGTACGGAAACAAGCACACACCGACTGTCTCTATACAGGCCTACATGGGAGAATTCCCAATCACTACCCACTGTACAGACGACACACACCGACTGTCTATATACAGGCCTACATTGTAGAATTCCCAATCACTACCCACTGTACAGACGGACACACACCGACTGTCTGTATACGGGCCTACATCGGAGAATTCCCAATCACTGCCAACTGTACAAACCGACTGCACACCGACTGTCTCTGTATACAGGCCTACACGGTAGAATTCCCAATCACTGCCCACTGTACGAGACAACACACACCGACTGTCTGTATACAGGCCCTACATTGTAGAATTCCCAATCACTGCCCACTGTACAGACACACACACACGGACTGTCTGTATACGGGCCTACATTGGCAGAATTCCCAATCACTGCCCACTGTACTGACAAACAACACACACCGACTGTCTGTATACAGGCATGCGGCCTACATTGTATGAATTCCCAATCACTGCCCACTGTACAGACGACACACACGGACTAACTGTATACATGCTTCGCTTTGATTACCTATCCCTAACTACCCTAATTAATGCTACTACTACTACTACTACTCCTACTACAGCTACTACTACTGCTGCTGCTGCTGCTGCTGCTAGCTACTACTACTACTTCTACTACCACGGCTGCTACTGCTGCTGCTACTACTACTACTATCATTACTATTGCTATTGACCCTTGAGAGATCGTTTTCAGAATTGATCTTCAGTAGCCCCATGCTTGTCGTAAGGGCGACTGACGGGATCAGGTGGTCAGGCTCACCTGACTTGGTTGACACACGTCATCGCATCCCAATTGCGTAAGATCGATTCTTCTGCTGTTGATCACTGGATTGTCTGGTTGAGGGTTCGGTTATTTACAAACCGCCGCCATGAGAGCTGGACTATGGCTGAGAGCGTCTTTAACGACACACAAATAGCTACTACCACCACCATCACCACCACTGCTACTACTACTACAGCTACTGCTACCTGCTGCTTAGCTTAACGCTTGCTGCTACTACTACTACTACTTCTACCTGCTGCTGTAGCTTCACTACAAAACTCGACACGT